GGGTCTTTCTTTCCTGTGTTGTCCCTCCACCCTTTCAAGCATGGTGTCCTTCTCCAAGAAGTGGTCCCTCCTGGCCACATGCCCAAAGTATGTAAGATGGAGCTTCAAAATCCTAGCCTCCAAGGAGAAACTTGATTTCACTTTCTCTAAGACAGACCTATTTGTTTTCTTGGTGGTCATGGTATGTTCAAGACTCTTCTCCAGCACCAAATCTCAAAGGCATAAATTCTTCTTCTGTCATCCTTACTCATTATCCAGCTCTCTGATGCAGAGCAAGTAACTGTGAAGATCATGGACTGGATCAGGTGCACTTTAGTCTCCAGACTGATATTGTTGCTTCTCAGTACTCTAGAGAGGTCCCTCCCTGACAGCAGATTGACCTAATGCAATTCACATTTTAATTTCCTGGCTGCTGGTGCCAAGATTGTTAATTGTGGAGCTGATAAGAGCTTCAATCTCTTCTTCATCCATCATGGTGCCCAAGATCATAGTTGTTGAAAATCAGCTTCTACTCTGAATGCTCATGGGTCACCACTAGTTGCGTTGACTTCTCTCATAAGATGTACAGCCTCCAAAAGCCCAGCCATCAGTCGATTCTGAATCAACACTAATGAGTTTGAATGACCCAGTTTTGTAATTGAGTTATATTTTTCTCTTTGAGGTGTTGGAATTTTCTCTAAATTTTAGGGATTAATCAAATGAGGAATATTCTTATTATCAAGAAAACAGTAATAATAACCATAAGTCTATACCAACTAATCCGTGCATAAAACTGTCAAAATTAGTTTAATTTAGGTGTATCTTCGTTTTCCTGTTTACTGTTATTTTGCATTATTTTTCCAAGGTCACTGTCATGAACAGATTTCAGACTAAGAGAGATTAGGAAGAAAAGCCTAGAGTTCTATGCTGGGAAATTGTTGTTGTTGATTGCCTTCAAGTCTAGCATGACTCATAGTGACCCTATGAATGAAAGGCTTGAAGCCCCTCTACAACTGTTGACATTTATCAAAGTTCATAGAGTTTCTGGAGGCATATTGTTTAGGAAGAAGAAGCCACTCCTTCTTTACATCAGAAAATTAGCCCGTGAAAATATTATAGCTCATAAGTAAACATTGTTTGACTTGGATGCTCTGACCAAGTCCTCAGTGAGAAGGATTGGCAAGATAATCATGGTGATGGCCTTGAACATGCCAGCAATCATGAAGGTGATACAGGACCAGACAATATTGCCTTTTGTTGGACATAAGGTCACCACAAGTTAGGACCAACTTGACAACAACTATATATGTATCTGTTCTTTCTTTATCTTTTATGATCTTCACTGGAAGATTACAGGGCAGTCATTTTAGATGATGCCCTTCAATTTGGATGTGTACAGTGCTTCCTTGAATTATTATCTTTTTGGCAGGAATGTCACGGAAATGAAGCTGTGCTCTTTTCATCGCATGCTGTTAGGAGAAAACATGCTGTCAATTTCCCCATTACCAGTGGGATTACTTTTGATTACTTGATTAAGTTGTTCTGCCAGATTTCTCCATTATAAATTGCTCAGTTTTATCCTTGGCCATAAATAAATATTTTATGTGGAAATACTTTTAAGGCCCAGTGAACAAATGGTGAACATGTAGTTTCTCAATCCATTGCCACTCCTAGTCTTAACATTCACTGGCATTTCTAACAAGAATGAAATATTTCTATGATAATTGTCAAATTGAGGTTTCCTAATTCTGATATTTCTTCTGTATTTATTACATGACATTCCACTGTAAAAGCATTTTTCATTTCTCCATATATCTGTTAATTTGTTTATTGCTTTCAAGGTAGCAGAATTGATTCCTGCTTTATTGAATAGATTATGTACCCATTATAATGGAGTTGCTTTGGGAAAGTCTGCTGTTAGGGACTTCTCCAGTGTATGGAGGAGCAATGATCTCAGTCTAGAGACTAAGGTATGTAGAATCCAAACCATGGTCTTTGAAATTACTTGCTATGCATCAGAGAGCTAAACAACGACTAAGGATGACAGAAGAAGAATTGATGCCTTTGAGTTGTGGTGCTGCAGAAGAGTATTAAACAAGCCATGGGCTGCCAAGAGAACAAACAGGTCTGTTCTAGAGAAAGTGAAACCAGGTTGGAGGCAAGGACTTTTCAATTCCAGCTCCCATACTTTGGACATGTTGCAAGGAGTGACCAGTCCTTGGAGAAGATCATCATTCTTGGAAAGGTGGAGGGTCAGCACAGGAGAGGAAGTCCTTGAATGAGATGAATCGACACAGTGACTGTGGCAATGGGGGCAGGTATGTCAGAGACAGTGAGACTGGCTCAGGATAGACCAGGGTTCAGAGCTATTGCTCATAGGGTTACCATAAGTCATAGTTGACTCAATGGTACATAATAACAACAGCATTCCTTACTTTGTTGCACAGATTGTCATTGATTTGCCAATGAGACCTCCATCGAATAGTTTCTAGGTTCTCTTGACACATCTCTGTCATTCTTTGAGCATAGGAAGGAAGGGAGGAAGAAAAAAAAACCATAAGGGAGGCAAGGATGGAGGGAGAGAAAAAGTTATTATTTTTAAATGGAGGAATAACATACACTTAAATGTACAGGTATTAATGCTCAATTTGGTGAATTATTTTATCCAAGTAAAATTAAGCTCATTGTTGGCAAGTGAATTTAGACTCATGGGACACTATAGGACACAGTATATGAATTATTCCATAGAGTTTTCAAAATTGTAATCTTGACAGAAGTCAACAGTCACCTTCCTTCCCTCACATGCCCATCTAGAGTAGATGGTGAATGCAAACCCACAGCCATTGTTCAAATTAGTCCCTGAATGTTTGGCCACTGTGCCATCAGGGCTTCTGAGCTCCAAGTAGTTATCACCTAAAAGAAGACAGAGAACATTTCTATCTCTCCAGAAAGCTCCCTCATTCAAGGATGTCCACTCACAAGCATCATTAGACACCCTTCTCCTCATCATTGTTTTCTACAATGTCTCCCCCATACCTAGTAGTGGTCAAAATATTATCAATTTGCACCTAATCTTCCTAAGTTTTCTTTACTGATGCTCAGCAAACCAATCACTGGTTTCTCTAACAACCTCATACCTCTATTCTGTAGAACTTGACTCCTATTAATCTTTATCTCCTTCACCTATTTAGTGGATCTTCTGAAGAGTCTGGGAGGAAGGAATCTGAGGAAGGTAATAATGGATCTGTAGAGAGAGATCAGTTGGCCAAGTGGAGAGAAAGTGATGCTACCAAGCCAAAGGTGGGTGACTTTTAATTCGTGGCCCTCAGGCCTGGTTTTCATTGTTTTTGGTGAAATATTCTTCTAGGAGGTATAGCCCACGTGTGTCTACTTGCCGTACACAGGTAACCTGCGGTTGCTGTGAAGCTGAACACTGTGACACTGATGTGTCAAAATACATTAATGGTTACCCATGGCGGACACAGTGTAAGGTGGTGCTCCCTGATTGAAACAAGCTTGGAAGCAAGAGTGGTATCCACTTCTGTAAATAGCTTGCCTCCGGAAACCCTATGAATCTGGAGAAAGGATGAAAGTCCTACAAGTGCTGATGACTTTCATTCATAGGGTCGCTATGAGTAGCCTACGACTCGAAGGCACTTAACAACAACAACAGCAGGGTGCAGGAGACCTGGATTCATCTCCTAGTAGCTCGCCTCAAGGACAACCTCAACTCAATGGTCAATAGAGACTCATGTGAATCTGAGCAGGTTTCGGGAGGAACTTCCTGACTAAGAGGGACTAGAAAGTCCTGAAAATCTATTTTGAAAATCAAGCAGTGGAAAGCCTATGGATTACAACAGTCCCTTGCTGCTGCTCATAAGATTGCTGTGAGCCGGAGAATGACTGTATGACAACTAAGAACAAGAATAAGGAGTGACCCAATGAAACAAGAATCCTTTCTCTTCTGAGGAGGTGGAGGTTGTGTAGTGATTGTGATTTACTCAAAAAAGTCAAAAGATTGTTCGTACTTTATTTTCTTATTTGTATAGGACACAAGGTTGACTAAGAGCAGAGTTTAAGATCCAGTGCCTGACACCAACATTATTTAAGCTCTTGTGTCTCAAGGAACATTAGAACAAGATACGACAAAACCATGGAGTCATGGATGAAATCATGGAGTCAGTTCCTCTGAACTGTTTCAATCCACATCTTCACCTTTCCTCCATTCTCTCTTCCTTCTCACCATCTTTTTCTTTGAATTCCAAATTGCCATTTCACATCAACTCCCTAATCTCTAAAGCAGATCTAATGATCTGTTTGTCTAAAGAGTTAAGGAAATATTTTAAATGAATAAGAAGGATGTTTTGTTGATTTGATACAAGGAAAGACTGAGAAGATTTTAAGGTTGTCTGTTAAGTGGAGTTATCAGGTAGATTTTGTTACAAGTTGCAGATTAAAAATAAATAGAGAAGGAGTAATTTTGTGAGAGGGGACAAAGTGCTAAATCTTTAGATGTCTGAGTAATACGTTCTTGAGAACTGGAAAGTGGAATATCATTTTAGTGGTCAGGAGACTGAGACAGTGAAATATATTAGTAACTGTGCAAAGTTCATACACCAAAAACTATGGTCCAAACAAGGGTTCCTTCGCTGTACTGCATCATCCATTATGTACACAAGACAAAAGATGGAGAAAAAGAGATCTGGACTTCTGTGGAATCTAGGAATCATCAGGATTTTTGGTCAGTAGCAAGAATAAATTATTTGGAGCCTTGACTCTAAATGTCACGGAGACAAACACCAATCGAAGATTTCACAATAGATCCACCAAAGTCAAAAGTAAATGATTAAAGAATGTAGATCTTAGAGGCCCTTTCAGACCATGACACTTCAACTCCCTTATACAGAGAGCAGAGCAAACCCCCCTCAAAGTTAATCATTGAGGACTTTTGTCCGCGCCTCATTCGTTTTAGCTGAGGAAAGCCACGCTGGCTGTTTTAGTGTGAGTGGTTGTCGTCCACAATGATTTCCCCTGTGCTCTTCTTCTCCTTGAGTTTTCTTTGTCACGTTGCTATTGCAGGACGGAGTAAGTACTTTTTCTTTCAGAAAAATAATTACTATATCCAGTTCCCCACATCTACTCTCAATCTGAGGCCTACAGTCTACAAGGCCTACAACTCCTTTTCTTTTTTGAGGGGGGTGCGTGCTAGAGACACTGAATCTATATTTATTCTTTAGTCTTGTGATTATAAAGCTCCTTCACTTGATACTGTACTAGCACAAGCCTCAGTGTAGTCGACTGTCAAATGGGAATAACAGTATTGCATGTAAGGGGTTTCGGGGAGATTATATAAGATACCGCTTAAGCAGCTTCTGGTACAGGACTGGCTACACCCATTATGCTGTTGTTGTTACACACCATTGAGTTGAACTCCACTCATAGCTGATCCTCCAGCAGCACGCTTTCAGGTGGAGTAAATCACACTTGAGGAGGTTGCCTGTATTTCTTCTGCTGAGCAGCTGGTGGATTCAAATCATGTTCCTTTGGGTTGGCACCTCCACTCCTTCCCACTGAGTTCCTAGAGCTCCGTAATACTCATGAGTAGCATTGCTGTTGTCGTGTACCGTCAAGTCGGAACCCATAACCCACCCTCTGGCAGGTTTTGAGAGGCAGTTAATTACACGGAAGAAGAGTGCCCATCCTTCTCTCAATGAGTGGCATTAAAAATTTCATTTTCATTTGTTTGTTGGCTGACCTTCTGAAATTCACATTCACGTTTCTTACCCACCTTCTTTGTACTTGACTCCAGCCTGTCCCAAGCCAGATGAATTACCAAATGCCGAAGTTACTCCATTAAAATCGTCCTATGAGCCTGGAGAGCAGATTGTGTACTTCTGCAGGCCGGGCTATGTGTCCCGGGGAGCCATGAGGCAGTTCACGTGCCCGCTCACAGGCATGTGGCCCATCAACACTCTGAAATGTCTACGTAAGTCGGTGCCTCCGCGCACATTCTCTTCCCCTCTCTGGATGCTGGGCTCGTTGGGATGACCGAGCTCATCGTGGCCAGGGGCCTGTGGGGAGAGGCTGAGAAACCAGAGAGCCTGAGCCGGTGGGAGAAGGGAGTAAGGCAGTAAGTGCTGGCTGGAGAGGAGAAGATCCTAACGTATGTCACAGGGAGGCTGAAAGTCCTGAGTGGGAAACACTCCAAAAATGAGAAGTGAAGACGCTCTAAAATGCAAACTGACCTCAGAGAGATCCTTGGAAGAGGGAAACGAGGCAAATCATTATTTTTGGGGGGCTTTGCCTCGAAATGAAAGCTGAGAAGGCTCAGATAGTTGCTGAAATGTATAAACATTTTCACTTAAATATATACATGTATATATAAGACATCTGAAACAGACACATGCACGAACCCATTACCATCAAGTCAAGTCGCTTCAGATTCATAGCAACTCGCCAATGAGCTTGTGATGACTGTTAATATTGAGAGGAGGAGATTACCTATCTTTCTCCCCAAGAGTGACTGACTGGTGGATTTGAACAGCTAGTCCAATGTGTTACAGATCATGCTACTAGGGGTTGGTTATCTGTCTGTCTGTTTAGGTCTATCTATCTATCTATCTATCTATCATCTATCGCTATTTTTTTATTAAGGAACTCTCATGGTATACTGCATCACATGCAAAGCTAGGAAATACAAAGTCAGAGGTTCAAATCCACCAACTGCTCCCCACCAGAAATAGAAAGCAGTTTGCTTTAATAAGATGTACAGTCTTGGAAACCCAATGGTGGTTGGGATAAGTTGAATCATCAACTCTGCCATAGCGGTTTGGTTTTATTGTTTATTGTCAATAGCTATATTGTTTTTTCCCCATCACATCATGATTTTATGATTTCATGCCAGCGTTATTTACTGAAGCCAAATATTGAGAAATCAACCAGATAGGATTTCTGGCGATTTTATTGGGTAGCTAAGCAGTAAAAAGAAACTAATCTGAGCTCTGGTTATTTACTCACTATGACTTTTGTTAAAAGACTCATACTTATTTTAATATGCTTTTGGGGTAAAGTAGAATAAATGCAATATTTATGGAAAAATTACAACAGACACATTAGATAAAATTTTCTTTCAATAAATCTCAATTCTGGAACATTAACGATTTCATTTTTCATGTTATTTTCCAAATGTGTGTTTTCTCATCATTGCAAAGGTATATGCTAGTTTGTGGAGTTTTTTTCCAGTTTAGTTCGGCATCATAAAATTTTACTATGTCTCGACAGTGGGTCTCTGGTGGCCTAGTGGGTAGGTAGGTGCACTGCTAACCCCAGGTTGAGTGGTATGAATTCACCAACTGCTTTTCAGGAGAAAGAAAATATTACTGAAGGAGCTTCACCTTTTTTCTAAGGAGTGCCTGGTAGATCTGAACATTTCAGTCAGCAGCATAATATGTAATGCGCTTAGATGTCACTGGACTCCTTAGAAATCAGATATTATTGGTTTTGTAAATGAAGGTCTACATGTATAGTCTGCTATCAAGATGTACAATTATAAAGCATATTTTACTTGTGTGTCTAAAATTGTAATACCCTCCATAATTGAGCCCATGAGTTCAATGCTTGATATGTTACGATATATTAAAACAATCCCTTGACAGTGAACATTCAGAATCCAAATTTTGTTAATAGAGGTACCAGTGTGATAAAGGTTTTACAGCATATATAATTTCACCTACTTTGACTAATGTTTTTAATATCATTGTTAGAAGAATTATTGGAGCATGGTAGAAATGAGGATATCTACTTTTTTAAAAAATGGAAAATTTTATACAGAGAAATTTACCTTTTTTGTCTTTCATTGACAGCTAGAGTATGTCCTTTTGCTGGAATCTTAGAAAATGGAATTGTACGCTATACAACGTTTGAATATCCCAACACGATCAGCTTTGCTTGTAAAAAGGGGTAAGGACTTCCAGGCAAAGGGGAGCGAACACAAAGCAAATTTCTGTATCTTTAGTCGAAACATCCTGAGTGGTCCTTTAGGGTGGACTTGATGACTACAAATAAGGTTGTGTCCTACTTTTAATATACCACAGTGAGACCGAGGCATAAGTACACGATGGGAAAAACAATAAGTTAGAAATATGAAGTTACCACTATTAACTAATTTTGCTGCTTCCCATTAATTCCTTCTCTGACGAGGTTCATTTGAAACCTTTATAGCTACATGACGTTTCTCTATAATCTTATTTTTAGAATTTTTTTAGAATTATTTTTCTCATTTTTATAATCCCATTTTTTATTAATTTAGTTTGTTTATTTTTCATTTCAATGAACATCTACAGAGATTTTGGAATTCCATTCATTCATTGTTGCACCCTTCTCCCCGCACAAACCCCTCCCCCCCCGTTTGCAAAATATATAAAACACACATTAACAAAGTTGAAAAAGGAGATAGATAACACTACTATAGTACTTGGAGACTTCAATACACCCCTTTCAAGAAAAGATAGAACTACTAAAAAGAATCTCAACAAAGATACTCAGGAATTAAACCACACAATTAACCAACTTGAACTTAAAGATATTTATAGGCTAATGCACCCCCAAAAGGCACAATACACCTTCTTTTCCAATGTGCATGGAACATTCTCCAGAATAGACTACATTCTAGGTCATAAGGCAAGCATCAACAAATTCAAAAACATAGAAATTATACAAAGTATCTTCTCAGATCACAACGCCACAGAATTAGAAATTAATAACAAGAGAATAAAGGAGAAAAGATCACACATTTGGAAGCTAAACAACAACTTGCTTGAACCCATGTTTATCGCGGCTTTGTTTACAATAATCCCATATTTTTAACTAAAAAATATACACTTTTATTAATCCCTGAGAAATGCATAAAAGTTAACAAGAAAACTCAGTGAGACGAATAGCATTTTAAAAAAATTGTGATTTTAATGAAAGTTGGATTTTCATTCATTCACTGTTGCATATTTTCCTCCCTACCCACCCCTCGGTTCACATTTTTTAAAAAATCATCCATTGGTGCTTAATTGAGTATCAATTTTAAAAATATTCCAGGAATTTCTATTAATAAAACTACAGAGACAAATTATTTCAGCAGTTCAATCAGGGGGAAAATGACCTTGAAAAACAATTAATAAAGCCCTCAATTTTCTCTTTATAATCATACATTAAAATAAAATTAGCACAAATTCACCCCTAGCAGAAGCCGAGTTACAGGCCATGCCTTGGCATTTGTTGTTGTTGTGTGCTGTGGACCTGGTTCTGGCTCACTGCACACCATAGAGCAGAGTAGAAGGCTATAGGATAAGAGTTCCTGGGCCACTATTTTTACAGAGGCAAATGACCAGGTCTTGTTTTCTATGGAGCCACTGGAAGCTTTGAATTACTAAGTTTTTTGTTAGTAAGTGAGTGCTTAACCATTGTACTACCAAGATTCCTTAAACCTTGGTATCAGAGTGAAATGTCAGTCTGGAGACTAAGGTGTGCCTGATACAGGCCTTGGTCTTTGCAGTTATTTGCTAGGCATCAGAGAGCTGGACAATGACTAGGCATGACAGGAGGAGAATTGATGCCTTTGAGCCGTGGTACTGAAGAAGAGTGTTGACTATACCATGGACTTCTAAGAGAACAAACAAGTTCATCCTGGAGACAGTAAAGCTAGGCTGCTCTTGGAGGCATGGATTCTGAAGCTTCATCTGACATACTTTGGACATGTCGCTAGGAGGGACCAGTCCTTGGAGAGGAGCGCCATGCTTGGGAGGGTGGAGGGACAGTGCAGGAGAGGAAGACCCTCAATGAGTTGGATTGATTCAGTCACTGCGGTAATGAGGATAGGTGTGCCAGAGACAGTAAGATTGGCGAGGGATAGAACAGGGTTTAGAGCTGTTGTACACAGGGTTGCTATGAGTTGCAGGCAACTTGACAGCACATAACAAGAACAACGTCAGAGTGAAAATATCTTAGGAATAAAGCTTGGACTTTAGTGATGAAGTCAATTTAATTGGCCAAACAAGGAGAGAAGAATATTTCCTGTAGATGCTTAGGAGAGAGATGAGGAGAGAGATGACAGGAAATAGGCCTTTACAAAATGCAATGCAGCAGCCCCAGCAACGAGTTTTTTATATCTCAAGAGATTTTCACATTTCATCCACTTTCTGAGCAGATTCCACAGAGACACTGTCAAAAGCACAGTAGCCTCACATTCAGGCAAATTTTTATTGTGGGATCTTGTTTAGAATCTAATACTGTATAAAACCATTATTGTAGAATGAGTGTGAGGATCCAAGGTGGGGAGGGGGTGGAAATTGAGGGGCGAGGGGGGTTCGCTATTAATCGTAGGGTTTCACAATTCGATGGGTGGGTAGGTGAGGTGAAGGATCTTTTGTGAAAAGCAATGTATTCAAATTTTGTAAATAAATCAGAATAAAAGAAAAACATTAAAAATAAAAAAACACTACTTGTGAAACAGAAATATAGTCTTTTCATCTGAAACATCAATTTGCTGTTGAGTTTGATGGAAAGCAACCTTGAAAAATATTCGCTTCAAGGGCAGAATGCTGCATTTTCAATGGAGATATACTGAATTGGGAAAACTATTCTAAGATAGGGGGAAAATGTCATTAGTACTGCCACAAAGCGGTGCTTAATGGAGAAACCATCTGAGACACCGCTGATGGGTTATTTTACTGCTTAATGGACTCTGCTGTCCTTTTGCAGGTTTTATCTGAATGGAACTAATTCTGCCAAATGCACTGAGGAAGGAATCTGGAGCCCAGCGCTTCCTGTCTGTGCACGTGAGTCTGTGGGCCCCGAGGCTGTGCTTCTGCCTTTCTAACAAGTTCAGTTGTGAGTGACGGTGACCAAATGCATCCCAAGCAGCCAGGTACTCTCCTGACCTAAGTATTGAAATCTCTCAGACTTGTTCCAATGAGATGACCTTCGTGGCACCACCATCCTGCTCTGGAAGATAAACAGCTGCTTTTGAGGGACGGGAGGGAAGCATCCGACTTAACTCCAAAGAATATTTTGCATTCTCTGCCTAGTGGGGTCAGCATTGCTAGGTTTCTTTGACTCCCCCGTTGCATTTGGCAGGAACATGAAAATAGATGTTTTGATCTTTCAAGGTCTGCCACCATCAGATCAGAAGTTCTGGGAATAATGGATTGAATCCGTCACTCATTCAGGGACATCAATCACGTATTCATTTATTTACATAAACATGTATTGAGCACCTAGTGTGTACCAGATCTCCTCTCAGCCCTGAGGCTACAAATGTAGAGGACCTTGGACCCTCCCTCAGGGAGTGAGGAGGACAAGGAAAGTAGCCTTCACCGGATGCTCAGAGGCCACTTCAAATCATTACAGCCTCTCACCCTGGAATTGGACTGAGTTCCTCCCCAAGGAGGCAATGACTTGTTCAGGTGATGCTGAGAGGAGCAACCAGGGTCACCTCTCCCCAGATGCGGCTCCCACAGGCCCTCTCTCAGAGCAGGAGGCCCAGACAGTGCAGTAATTACTGTTCTTTCATCTCTCCACTAAGTCTTTCCTGGCAAGAGCAAGTAGAAAGGAAAAAGCAATTTTAAAAGAATAGTAGTTAAAGAAAACCTCAACTACAAAGAAGTTTTTAAAGAATTAATTGGGTTTTTCACTTAGCAGTAAGACTCACCCCAGCTTTTATGAAATTGTTTCCCTTTTAAGCAGCTTTGCGTCAACTATGGAAAGTCACTTTGTATAAATTGTAAGCAGGAACGTTACACTAGCTTCCACTGAATCAAAATGAATTCTCATAATTTAATGAATATGTTAATTAGCTGGTATCTTATTAAAGTACAGGTTCTGATTCTGCAGGTAGAGGGGTAAGTCTGGGTTCCTGCATTTCCAACAAACTCCCAAGCTGCTCATCCATGGGCCATACTTGGAGTTGAAAGATCTAGATGGCAGAAGGTAAATCGCATTTTGGTCTGCATTACCTTCCTTGAGGCGAGCTCTGGTGAAGTAGTCTCTAGGGAGTTATATCATTAACCCAATGGCCATGTTTTTCTAGGGGTTTGAATCTACCAGCAGCTCCACAGGAGAAAGATAGGCAATGTACCCTTTGTAGGCACGGAAACCCAATAAAGGGTCAGTTCTTCCTCAAGGATGAGGAGTTTGAGTTTGACTTTACATTAACTTCTTAAAACCTTTTTTACATTGGCGAGGTCAACTTCTGTTGTACAATGTAAAACAAAGAAGGAGAATTGATGCCTTTGAGCTGTGGTGCTGGAGAAGAGTACTGAGAATACCATGGACTGCTAGGAAAACAAACAGATTTGTCCTGGAAAGGGTTAAACCGGGTGGCTCCTTGGAGGCAAGGATTCTGAGGCTCCATCTAACATACTTTGGACATGTTGTGAGGAGAGACCGGTCCTTGGAGAGGGACATCATGCTTGGGAGGGTGGAGGGACAGCACAGGAGAGGAAGGCCCTCTATGAGGTGGATTGATTCAGTGACTGGGATAATTGGTATGGGAGTGTCAGAGATGGTGCGATTGGCACAGGAGAGAGCGGAGTTTAGGGTTGTTGTACATAGGGTTGCTATGAGTCACAAGCGACTCGACGGCACATAACAACAACAACAACAACAGGTCAACTTCATGACCCACTGTTATGGTGTCCATAATGGTGCATGGATAAACCCCACACACATAGTGCTCAAAACATGATTCTGTAGGAACAAGGGAGAATTGAGCTGTCAAAAAAGACTTAGTATGGCATTATTCACTGTAGCAAAGGGGTGGAATTAGTCCAAGCACCCATCAACAATTGAACAGCCACAGACAGAATATTACCCAGCATTGAAAAATAATGAACTTGTAATACAAAACAGAACATGAATGACTGGAAGACATGATGCTGAGGGAAATATCTCAGTCATAAAAGGACAAATATGGGGGAGGGAAGGGCTGGGCGGAGAGAGAAGTACAGCAATGAATGAATGGAAATGCAAAATCTCTATAAATGTTCATTAAAACTATTTAAAAAATTTAAAAAAGGACAAATACTGCATAAGACCACTGTTCTATTAATAAGATTGATATGGGGGCGTGTGTAGAGCAGGAAAAGAATGGATAGATAATGAACGCTGCACTGGAATAGGTGAAAGGAGGAACAGTCTGAAAGGAATGGACAATTAGAAATTATGTGTTAGACAATTAGCAGCCTGGAACAGGATAGGCATTGCAAAGAGAATTGGGGGATTGGAGAGAGGTAAAAGGTACACGCTTGAATGAATGAAAACCAATCTCTTTATGAACTAAGAATAAAAAAATTCTAGACACATTAGTGAGGGAGAGAGAGAAGACTTAGCATGAAGTTACTGTCAGCAGTACTTAACGGGTGATGTCCTCTATTGTCCGTGCCTTCCAGGAGCATTTTCCGGGATGATATTTGGATCAAAGGCTTTGTGAAAGCGTAACCACTGTGTTACTGTATGAGGAAGACTAGTGGTGGCAAAACTGAGATTGAATGCATTTTAGAGGGTTTTGATTTCAAAATCCAGTTTTCTCATTTGGTATCCATATTTGACAGGTTTCTTTTAACCATGACATTCAATCAAAATTTGCATTTTCTTTAGTTTATCTCTGATCTGTTTTATTGCCCTCCCCCCTTCCTGGAAAATATATTTGTAAAACTCAACTATTTTAGTAAAGTAATAATTCTTTTTTTTAAATAAATATAGCTGTAACCTGTCCTCCACCACCTATACCAAAATTTGCAAAACTTCATATTCACAAGCCTTCAGCTGGAAATAACTCACTGTATCTGGACACCGCAGTCTTTGAATGTTTGCCTCAGCATGCCATGTTTGGAAATGACACAATTACCTGCACCGCACATGGAAATTGGTCTGAATTGCCCGAATGTAGGGGTAAGTGTAACGGGACAAAAAGAATTCTCTTAAAGGGACAAAAAGAATTATCTTAGTTTTTTTAATCTCATTTTTAAAAATCCAATTGCTGTGTGGTTTCAAATCCCTTCATTTGACAAGTATTTACTGAGCTTCTACTATTTACCTGAGAAGGCACAAGGTGATGGTGACGTTAGTAGAAGACATTTGAATTCTCACCTGAAGAAAATGCTATATAATGCATTTAGGTGCTTGAAGCTGTTTGGAGAAGCCCCACGAAGGGAGTGGTGCTTGAACTTGGCCTGAGTGGAGGAATGAGGCATGACAGATGAGAGATCATGGCGTGTGCTTATAGTTACTGGAGTTTCTTCCAAATCATATCATATCATATCATATCATATCATATCATATCATATCACCGATATGATGGAAATTAGTGATGCTGTTCCTAAGTGCCATTTGGTTGACTGTAACTCACAGTAATTCTCTACACAACAGATTGAAATCTTGCCCAAGCTAGGACCATCCTCACAATCTCCACTGAGCTTAAACCCATTATTATGGTCACTGTGCCAACCTATCCCCTTGAAGGCCTTCCTCTCCCTTGCTGGCCTCTAATTTGCCAAGCATAATGTTCTCTCCCAAAGACCGGCCTGCCTCTCTTGACAATGTACCCAAAGTAGTGAGAGGAAGATGCACCATCGTTGTCTCTATGGAGCACACTGGCTACACTTCCTCCAACATAGATTTGTTTGTTCTTTGACAGTTTCTGGTATGTTCATTATTCTTTGCCAAAGACCACAATCACATACGCCCATTTTTCTTCTGCCTTCCTTTGCTATTGTCCAACTTTCAAATATGTATGAAGCAATTGAAAATGTTTTGCTTGTCAGGTGTACCTTAGTCTTTAAACTGATGTCCTTGCTCTTTAGAACTTTAAAAGGTCATTTAATGTGAATATTTCATAACCAATGGGCTACACTATTTATTTACTATTACTATGTTTTATCACTTTTACACTTTTCAGAAGTAAAATGCCCATTTCCCTCAAGACCAGATAATGGATTTGTGAACTACCCTGCAAAACAAGCCCTATACTATAAGGATAAAGCCACGTATGGTTGTCATGACACTTTTGTTCTGGACGGTCCAGCAGAAGTAGAATGTGGCAAGCTGGGGAACTGGTCTGCTCAGCCAAGTTGTAAAGGTAGGGAAATGTGGGTGATGCCTTACACTGTCTGCATTGATCTAATGAATCATTTTTGTTTGCCAATCTCTTTTTCTAATCATTTTCTACTTGTTGCTCATCCTTGCTTCACTGCTGTTGGCAGATAAGGGACTTCAGGATTCACATATGTGTGGAGAAGCCTTATGTTTGGGGAGCTTACTTGAGGTTAAATTGACTTATGAAACAAACAGACTTTTTGTAAGCTTGAGATGATGATGATGGAAGCTTGTGTGGGCTTTGGATGTTGCATCGTGACTCTTGCTTTATGAGTATCCTTTTTTCTCACCAACCATCTTTTTTTAAAAAGTAATTCCACATTCCAGATAGTTCAAGAAAAGGAGGCTTATTATAAAACACACACACACACACACACACACACACACACACACACACCCCAAAACGAAAAACAAAAACCAAAACAAACCATGAAGCCTACAGGTAATTATATAGACTTTGATGAAAAGGACATGAACTTCAACTGGTTCTTCTGGGGACTGGAATTTGTTCCTACCCTCTTAATAGCTCAATGGCATCATCATCTCTCTGTTGTTGTGTCTCTTTGTTTGTTCTTCTTAAATATGAACTGACTCTATATCACAACATATCACCTAAAAGATCCATCATTAACCAGCATCTTTCTTCCGAGATGTTGTTTCCTTTTGCATCAAGTAACCATCCTAAACTAGTCAATGGCATACTTTTATGCAAAGAACAGCAATCTAGATGAGGAACAACTGTATCTCTGCCTAGGTTACTATAACCTATCCATTGAACTAGCAAGCAGAATTGAACTAGGTGGAGCAAGTATGATGTCAAATGACTGCTAAATTTGGTTGAGGTCCTTTGAAGCAGAATCCAAGAAAGGAATTTAAATGCAGTTTATATATTAAGTGAATGTCTCAAGGGAAGGAATGAGACAGATGAGATGAATGAGGGCATTGGCTCTTAGACATCAGGGTGCATCAGACTCATAGGGAGGGCTTGTTTAAGCACCTGTTGCTGGGCTTTGTTTTCAGAGATTTTGAGTAGGAAGCTCTGGAATGGATTTCTGAGTTTGCATTTCTGATAAGTTCCAAGTTGAGGCTGATACTGTCCATCCAGGTACTATGATGTGAGAAACACTGAGGATGAGGTCTCAGCCAGCGTCTACCTTCTGCCTAATCTCACAAGGAGCTGCATGATTTTTTCTTCAGAGTTGACCCCACCACGAGCATCCCCTTATCCATCAATCATGAGCTATAGTCTTCTCCTTTTCCTGATGGAGTGGTGGGGCTTGAAAAAGCTCCAGGAAGAGGTAGATTCCTTAGGACCAAAGGAAAATGTTCAGGGTAAGGATCATTTGTGAACCGTTAGCAACCAACATTGGCAATGACTGAAGGACGAATGTGCCAGGTCTGTAAATGGGATCTGGGTAAGACATGGGTGAAATGGTGCCATCTGGTTGAAGTTCTTTTACATTGAGTTCGAGAGTCTAGAACTTCAGCTCTGACCTTCTTATGCGGCTACAGAAGGACTGAAAGGTCATCTTGAATCAAAGGTTACTGTTACATTGACACAGGCCCTCAATTAGCAATACCATTGATGACTAATGCACATTCCTGCAATCTATTTGTCTTGATCTGCTTGATTTCGAGTGTACTTGTCTGTTGGTTCAAATACTATGCTTTCTTTAAGAACGATTTGTTCAACTTTTAAGTCTTGACTACAGTTGTCCTGTCTTACAGCATCTTGTAAATTATCTGTTAAAAAAGCCACTGTGCTTTACAAAGGGGAGAGAGTAAAGCTCCAAGAGAAATTTAAAAATGGAATGTTACATGGTGAAAAAGTTTCCTTCTTCTGCAAAAATAAGGAAAAGAAATGCAGCTACACAGAGGACGCCGAATGCATAGATGGTACCATTGAAATCCCCAAATGCTTCAAGGGTAAGTCTATCATTGTAACTTAACTTCTACTTACCCTTCCCAGAATCTGCACTTTTGTTATATAATGACTGTAAGAAGTTATGCATATTTGGCCACTGGAATTTTTTAATACTGGTTTATTTACAAAGTTCCAGTCCATTGTTTTTCACAACGGATCTTTCTCATTTCCTTCATCTCCCCCACTCCCTCATCAAATTGCACGACCCTATGATTAAACGCCCCCCCCCCATCCTCACCCCTCTGCCCCTATGCTTCCACCCTCTGCCCCCTTGGATCCTCGTATACATTTTGCAATAATGGTATTATACAGTATTTGTCCTTATGGGACTGAGTTAATTCACTTAGCATAATGTTCTCCATTCCCTCCCAAGTTAGATAATAATTTACAAAATCATTGCTCCATTGTGTGAACGTACCATAATTTCTCAACCCATTCGATTTTGGTTGGACATTGGGGCTGTTTCCATGTTCTTGCGATGGTGAATAATGTTGCTATAAATGCTGGCGTATGTTTTAAAAGAAAGAGGGAGGGGAAACTGGCCATTGGAAGTGGACTTCACTAGCATGAACTTCACTCTTTTCCAGTTCTTTTTCTTAAAACTTGGCTGTTGTTGTTGTTGTGTACCATGTAGTTGGAACCAACCCATAGCTGACCCTCAGGTGGGTTTTCAAATGCAGTTAATTGCATGGGAGGAGATCACCCTTCTTTCTCCTAAGAAGCAGCTGGTGGATTTGAACTGCATGACTTCATGATTGCAGCTCAACTTCTTACCACTAGGCCACCAGAGCTCCCTTAGTTTTATTCAATAAATGTCGGGGTGAATTGTACAATGTGGTGTAACTCCAAATTAAATTTGAATAATATTTAAGAGTCTCATTATCACACTGGTTCTGGTGAGGATTAAGGTGGAATGTTGACTCGCCAATGGGTGTGAGATGATGTGATTTGGCCTCCTATTTAAAAGCACATTTGGCCAGCAGTATGGGGCTGGAATCTCTCGGGACTGATTTTAATTGTTTTTGGTCAAACATTCATGTAAGTGGTGTAGCACTGGTCTGTCCATTTGCTGTATAGAGGTAACTTGTGGTTGCTGTGATGCTGAACACTATGACACTGATGTGTCAAATGCAATAATGGTGGACAGAGTCCGGAGGAGCTTCCCGATCAAAACAACCTTGGAAGCAGGAGTGGTATCCACTTCCAAAATAGCTTGCTTCCGGAAACCCAATGAACTTGGAGAAAGGATGAAAGTTATACAAGCTTTCAGGTCTTTTGTTCATAGGTTTACTATGAGTTGTCTATGACTCGATGACACTTAACAACAATAACAACAACAACACATTTAGTCCCAAATTATTACGTTGTTCTTTACTGTTGAGTTGGAACCAACTCATAGCTGACCTTGTGGGTTTTCAAAAGCAGTAAATTGCATGATAAGAGATTCTCTATCTTTTTCTCAAGGAGTAGCTGGTGGATTAGAACCACATGCCTTTGAGCTGACAGTGCAACTCTTTATCTAGTAGGCTACCAAAGCTCCCTTACGTATTTACTAGAACAACACATTTTAAGTAAAATGATATTCTCTTTGTGAAAAATAAAGGAAGTGGATAATAACTGGCCATCCCTTAAATTTTCAGGGTTGAGGTTTAAGTACCTTTGCTGCTAAAAAAGGAAGAAGCAGTCAGAGGCTCAAATGATTGTTGGCACCAGGCTTAGCCCTATTCTGCAGACATTAACAGCGCTCTACCTGCAGGCTGGGAGGCCATACAGCTGAGAGCAGATGGAGATCAGAGAGGAGTCTGAAAATGACCAGAGGAAGAGAAAAGGAATGCTGCTCAGTTAATCACATCTCCCAGGGTTGGCTTGATCATCAGAAATAAGATGTGTGACATGGAGAATGTGCCCAGGCAATCTTAGCTATTATCATTATAATGGCAAATAGTTATAAATGCAAGGAAGAGATTGTTTATTGTTCAAAAGACAGTTCTGGTGAGATGCTTGATACTAAACTGCAGTAGAAGAAAAAAACAAAGACAAAAATCCAACAAACCCCAGAACACAATCAATGAAAAAAAAATACCCCACAATAAATGAGGGGAGAAATCCAACCCAAACTCAAATCCCACACAATAAGTGATAAGCAGCGGAAAAAGTACAAGAGGACAATTTAAAACAAACCCAAAAAAAACCACAGAGCCTTGTTGAAGCTTTTGAGCTTTTCTCTCAGTGAATGTCTTTATCCAGATGGGGCAGTTTGAGTGTGCTGGAGAATAAATAAAAGCCAATAGAGTGAGGTTTTAAATTTTTTTTAATTTTAGCTGTCAGAGTTATATAAAACCCCTTATTTTCTTTCTTGGAATTGAGTGCTTTAACACTAGCTTGGTGTTCTCTTGTATCACTTAAACTTCACACTAAATGTTTCCAGCCATATAATTAAGTTTATCCTACATATTCGTAAAGTGCATTCTATTTGGCTTTGTTATTTAACACATATGGGAATTTCTCTTAAGATGTTTATCTGTTTCTCTCTCCCCTGTCACCCCCTGCTTCCCCAACAGAGCACAGTTCCTTAGCTTTCTGGAAAACGGATGCGTCAGATGTCCAGGCCTGCGAAAGTGATTCTTAGACACAGAATGAAATGCTTGTATCTGTCTGTGTTAGTCCAAGGAGACACATGAAAATAAAAGTTAAGAGCTTACTGCTTCTGTTCTGGTGGAGTTATTCCTCATAGTGGCTGATTTTCAGTTTTGTCACCTGGTTAAGGGACTCAAGTATTTGGAACATCCTTTTATGGCCGTAAAACAAAAATGGTCTACAATTACCTGAGTAACGTAGTTCCCCTCCTCCTCATGTCCTCTCTCAAGCGCATTTGCCTAACTTCCCTGCACTGTAGTGTTCCTCAGAGATTGATCCAATTTGGTATCAGCTTTTTTATTAGAAAGGGAAATTTCTAGGTCATCATCTCCAAGAATGACTTAGACATCTACCACCACCACCACCACCAGTTCCTCCTCCTCATTGCTGTCAAGTCAGAACTGACTCGCAGCTCCTCCTCCAGCTGGTTTCCAAGGCTGTAAATCTCACAGGAAGAGATTGTCCATCTTTTCTCCCATGGAATCATTTGTGGATTCAAGCCAAGAAAATGCCTGGCCTTTGGGTTAGCAGCACGATTCCAAACAGACTTTGCCACCAGAGCTCCCTGTATGTACAAGAAAGCCCCAGCTAATTCCTGCACATCCTCAAAGATGAGAAACGATACCATGAAGGAATGAGACAGGCTTGCAGGCCAATGTGACTAGATGAAAACTGTTAAGATTTTCAATATACCTTGTGAAATATTTCTTCCTTGTATTGTTGAGATGAACTCCAACTCATAATGATCCAGTGTGGAGAAGGATTGCCTCCCCACAATGAATTTCCTAGGTGATAAAATCTGCAATGGTGATTTTTCTTATTTGTTTATAATTGGGGTGAAGGTTTAGAGCACAAATCAGTTTTCCTTTCGACAGATCACACACATTTTATGCAGCACCATTGATTGCAATTTCTACCACAGAACATCATTCATTGCACCAGCCCTCTGTGCTTCCTGCGGTCCTTCTCTCCCTCCAGCCCCTCCTGGCATCTGAGTTTTGTCCTTGGACAAATGTTGTCCCCTCTGATCTCGAGTGGTTGATGGTTCCAGGGCCTGCATATTTCCTGGGGTTGTTGTTCACCTTGAGCTGTAAGGTTGAGCTCAGTTTCAGGCTTGAAGGGTGATTAAGGTCCATAGACGGGTTCCACCAGTCTGTATCTAATTGGTAAACTATATCTTTTCTTGGAATCCTGAATTGGGTTCCATGTTTTCCCTCCCAGTCCCTCCAAAAACTTCTTCCCTGATTTTTCTAGAGCAATTAGCAGTGGCTGCTGGGTACCATCTAGTTCTTCTGATCTCCGATGGAAGGTTAGGTTTGTTTAGTCTGTTAGTTCATTGGACTAATTGTTTCTGTTCCTTTTATCTTATTTTTATTTGCCCTGGACAAGGAGAGGCCGATAGTTGCATCTTACATAGCTACTCCCAAGCTTCTGAGACCCTAGTTGCTACTCCAAAATGTAGGATGTAGACAATTTTCTTTGTGATCTATATTGTGCCAAGTGACCTTGATGGATCCCTGACTCAATGATTCATTCCTTTAAGGTATATGGTTCCAAGTTTTCATAACTTTGTCCCATGTGTTTTCTACTAAATTTATGGATACATTTGCAGTATATGTAGATACACTTGTAAAAATACCCTCTTTTAAATCTATATCTATCTATGTATCTATCTATCTATGTATCTATCTATCTACCTACCTATCTATCATCCATCTCTCTATCTCTCTCCTTTGGTATAAATGTGATCTTTGCAGGAGTAGATTGTCTGATCTTTTTCAGAGCAGAACTGTTGGATGGATTTGAACTGCCAAACATTGATCCCTCACTGCACCATAAGTTCCTAAGTGTTTCACTATCCAGGTTCCATACTGTTGATACTGTTCATTTGCACATAGCCAACTTCCTTGCCCTTCTCCTTCTGTAGCAAATGCTGGCAAACCCAGTCAAGACTCTGTGTGCTTTCCCTCGGCCTGCATTTGAATAGCCAATGGTTGCTAAAAAAGAAAAACAAATGATTGCCATTTGCCAGTATTCATGTCCTTGTATAGTCTCTTCCCACACTCAGTCCAGTGGCCCTTGCAGCCCAGAGTCCCGTTGATCATTAGATCTACTAGTAACCTAAATGTCAGCAATCACTTCCAAGGCTAAGGCTTGAAAGACTTTATAGTGTTGGTCATGATCTCCCCTGGATCACCACCTCTGGGGCAAGTCAGTGGCCAAATTCCATGAATATTCGAGCAACACAACAAACAGCACCATAGTGAATCACCTTAGAGACAAGTCTTCCAGCCCCAGCCATGCTTTTAGATGCCTTCAATTTTGTTGCCATCTTGACTATACAAAACTGAGTCAAAACCAAAACAAAACAAAACAAAAACACAAAAAAACAAAACAAAACAAAACAAAAAAAACAAAACTGAGTCAAAATCACCAGACTAAGCCATTTCCAAATCCCTGGCCCACAGAAACCCTGTGAGATAATAAACACTGTTGTTTACACTTCCTAAGCTTTAGGATTAGTTGGTTCACAGCAGTTGCTAAGGAATACAATGGGGTTCTTTCCAAGTGCTGCTTTTATTAGAAGAACTAACAAGAAGTTGGCAAGGCTAGCAATCATCTTCTCTTACATTTTATTTCTTAAATGAGTTTTCCTATGGGAGTAACGTTTTAAAAATATATTTAAAAACCCACCAAGGCACGCTGACTTCACATCCATCTCTCTACAACTCAGAATGAATAATTGTTATTTTGCCATTCTTTCAAGTTCTACCACTTTAAATATACAAAAGCAATAAAACAAAAAAGGAAATTTTTTGGAGCAAAATAGGCTGTTGTCTAGACTACTCCTGTATGCAATAAACAGATCTGTTGTTTGGTAGCAGCAAGAATTCAACATGCCCAAAATCCCCAAAGCTCTTGTTTTCAAGCCACAGTACCTCCCTGCCTTCCCAGCTGGTTTCGGAAGAAGCTTCTAAAATACAGCAAGTGTGTTAAGGATGGCTTTTGGCACCATTTTGCTCCCTGACTTCCTGTCAGGCTACCGGATAGGTTTGGACCCCTGGTGAAAAGAAGCACAGCAGACTCGAGAGCTTAGGACGCAGCACTGAGTCCTCTAATTTAATGACTATTTTCACAGAATGATAAGTCTGCTGTTTTTGCAACCTGAAGAGGTAATTTGGATTAGAAAAGAACCCCAGCAGTCAAACCCACCTAATTTCAGTCCTTCCATTAAGTTCTTATGTGGGCCCTGTAGTCCACTAACTGGATGCCCTTTTCAAAATGGTTTTCTTCTTAAATGCGTGGGTCACCAGGTCGTCAGCCACCAGTGTTTAGCTGCACCTTGATCTCCCTGGTGGTGGGAGGGTGGTCCAGGAAAACCCCCCCACTGTGAGCAGCCTTGGGAGCAAGATGCCCGGAGCTGCGTTACCACCACAAGGAACCACTGTGAGTCTTCTTTGTAGCTTGTCTCAATTTGGCCTTCCATGTTATGTAATCTAACTTAACTAGCAATGACAGACTCAAGACCCTCAGTAAACTGGAAACCACAGAAATGACTGTGTCCCAGGACAAATAAGTCCCTGGAGACGGTTACCAGAGAAGAGCTCTTTTCTCTTGGCTTATGGCAGGAATGGGCTTCTAAACGCCAACGTGCCACATTTTCCCACTTCTCTCATTCTGTGATGCAAGTCTATAAGGAATTGATAATATAAGAAGATGAATTCTTTCATTTCTAAAACATTGACTGATTTTTTCAACATATGAGGTCTCATTCCTGACCCTTTAAATTCTGTCTCTGTCTCTTTACGTTTCCTTTCCACTAGCCTGGGCTCCTTCTTCTCCTTAATCCTTGGATAAATTATCTTGAAAAGAAAACAAACATAGCCTCTTGGGGTATTCATGTATCTGTAATGTTTCTTGCTTGTCGGTGTCTGTGTGGCGCTGTTTGTATGTGTAGTCTTTCAGAGTGTGGTCATGTGTACAGGTAAATGAATGCGCGCGAGGGTGTGACGTATGTAAATGTGCATACAAACATGAGCATGTGTATGTGAGGGTGTTTGCAGTCATAACTATTCTTTGTGTGTTAATGCTGCCTCCTAGTGGCATATGTTGCTTTTCCAAGTGCTGTCAAGAAACAGGCTTAGTATTGAAGTTGCCTTATGCGAAGGAAAACAATACCACATATCTCATCGTCTTTTATTCAGCTTTCCAATCATAAGAAAGAGAATGAAATGGAAAATTAAAATGTGTTTATTCATGTTGCATTTCCCAGGTCACCAGCTAATCAGTGGTAGGTTCCCAATCAGACACTTCTCATTAAGCTAATCACTTTCACAGGGACTCCCCTTGACATAAAGGAACTTCAAAGTTGAGATTTTACAGCAAGGAAGAAATGCTGAAATGATTTGATAAGAAATATTTTTTTTAATACATGAGGCTAAGAGAGGAGGGGCTAGTAAGTGTTCACTAGATGGTCTGGAAGACCCTCAGTGAGATGGACTGACACAGTGACAGCATCAGTGGATTTGACTATGTCAGAGATGATGAGAAGGGTAGATTATAGGACAGGATGCAGATCTGTTGTTCATAGGGTTGTTGTGAGTTGTACTTGGCTCAACAGTACATAATAACAAGGACGCTTTCATAATATATTACTGAAGAGGAAGAGGGGAGGAAGTGTTAATTTTCTGTTGATAGTTTCAAGCATAGATTGCTCAGGAAGGCAGGAAAATGTAAGCCGTGGAAGGTGGCATAGGATGATGAATGCTGCTTAGTCCTGGCAGCAGGGCAAGTCCAGAATCATTTTGCAAAAGGTGGTGACTCTTTTTATTATATCTATAGTGAAGAAAATATGCCGTATAAGCCTTGGTTTCTACTCTCTGTAAACATAATTGTGGTACAATTTATACTTTTGTAGTCTGTGAATAGAAGGTTCTCAATCACTTCGCATCCAATTTAAGGAAATTTACTGGGCAGAGGATTATTCTGATA